CCCTGGAACTGTCTCTCTGTCCTCTCCTGTCTCTCGGATTGGGGGAGTCCCTGCATCTGTACCTATTTTCTGGTGAGTGCTTGTCAGTAAACCCTGTCCTCCAGCCTTGCCTATCCCTGCGGTGGGAGTGATTCCTATCCCTTGTGTTCCTGGGACATTCCATTTTATAATGGTTCCTGGAACCGCATATGAAGCACTCTGGGGTGTTGTGGTTTCTGGTTTGGAACTCAACCCTTTTCGCTGGCCTGTTGTCTCTGCAACATACTGAGCGGTCTCTTCTTAGGCTATCTTCCGCTATGAGTTTGTTCATGAGTGTTTCTAGGGTGAGGTGTTCTAGACTGAGGCTATCTAGTTGTGTTATGAAATTATCCCAACTAGAGTCTAGTGAATTAATAATTATACTCTTCATACTTTCCTCAGAGATGGCTTCCCCTCTCTGTATCAGTTCAGCCCTGGTAGTGTTCAAGTTTAAGATGTGCTCACCCATAGAGGTCCTGGTCTTGTGCCTAGCTGAGTGAAAATCCCTAGAGATTCTGGTGGTGGTGGCCACACTCTTACTGTAAAATAGATTGAACAGTTTTTGTAATATTTCTGATACAGTCAAATGGTGGTTAAGGCTAGGATAGATGCTGGGTGAAATGCTTGCTATGAGTATGTAATAAGCCCTGTGGTGCAAGCAGTCCACTTCAAATGTCCAGGGTTTTCTAGGTGGGTCATTGATTAAGAATAGCATATTTTCTCTCAAGAAAACAATCTGGAGCTGCTGATTCCACTCTAGGAGATTTGTCCCATCTAATTTTAGTTTGTGGAAATCAGCAGGCAATATCACTGTGTTGTGTGTGAAATTACTCACTGACTGTCGCTGTCCATGGTTTTGAACGTGAGGGAACTCACAATATGGCACAGGGATGCTTGTTGTGACTCTGAACTGACTTATCTCTATGTTTCTCTCTTCTCTTCTTACAGATGGATTTTGCGCATGCTCCAGTTTCATCCTCGTCCAGCAGTCACCGAAGAAGGAGCTTGTGTTCACGGCTCCTGGAAGAAGGCCCCAATCAGCAGGATGGCTCCATGGCTCGGCCTTGGGTGGTCTCGGTTGGTCATAGTTCAGCCGGGAAGTCATCTGGATCGCTGGATTGCTCCCTCGGCGGCTCTGGAGGTTCGGATGTCCCGTGATGGTCGGTCAGACGTCTGGACGGTTCAATTCGACGCAGAAGTGGTGAGCTGGGTCCAGGCCGAAGCCCTCACTGGCTGGATGATCCGGGTGTCTCGGAACGGATCGCTGGGTCGATAAGTGATGGGCGATTCCCCTGGGTTCTGGTGTGGGCCTCGGGCGCGGCGAGTAGTGGTCCCCGGTGGGCGGTTGTGTACGCGGTACCCTGGTCACGGTGGCCTCGCACTCTGTGTAGTTTTCCCTTGGGCCCCTAGTATGTCAGTTGCCCCTTTGGGTCTCTCCGGAGTATTCGGATGTGGGCCTGGTAGGTTTATTTTTGCACCGAAGGCACAATTTTTCCACATGGCCTTGTCGATGTCTAGCTTGGTAGGTGAGCTAGCTTGGTCATCTCCCCATTTGTCTTTGCCGTTGTTAGGGTTTTCTTCGGTGGCTTGCAAGTAGGCCTCGGTTCCCACCAAAAAATTCAAATCCCGGGATCCCATTGGTTGTTGGTCGGCCATCTTGGGTGATGTCATTACCCAAGATGGCCACCACAAGGAAGGTGCAAATTCGGCCTCAGTTTCTTCGGCGGGGAAACGTTTGGTATACGGGTTTCCTACCATGTTCTCTTCCTTGCGGTTGGGTTCTGCTCCCTCCCCTTCAGTCGCTGCTCCGCAGTCCTCGATCAGGGCTTGGAGTTCCGCGATGTGTTCCAGGTTGGTCGGGGCTGAATCTATCAGGTCCAGCAGCTTCTTTTTCAGGTTGCCTCATTTTCTTTGTGTGTTGATCGCGGGGTCATCATCTCTTGGATTTTGCTGGGGTCCCTGGGCTGGAGGTCTGCTCTTCCTCGTCTGCCGTCTCCCTTGGCATGGTTTCGGTAGTAGATGACTTTGCTGCCATTCTCTTGTTGAACGCTCTGGTATTTGGTCTCCCTTTCGCTTCAGGCAGTTTGGGGGCTCCTTGCATATCTTGGATTAATTGGGTTGAAAACCATCCTCTGCTACCATTCTGTTGCGTGTTTCCGAGGATCTAGCCCAATAACTCCAACGCAGGATATTTTGATTCAAAAGGTATTTATTTATATCTTTCTTATCTCTTACAGGTGAACATCTGGAGTGCTCTCTGGACTCTTGGGCAACACCTTATATACCTGGGAGGCGGAGTCAAGGTGAGGAGGGGTCAAGGGAAGGACTAGGTGGGATGGGTGGTGTTAACCCTTGCCCTGCCATGGGTGCACAGTGTTAGGCATTTATATGTAACAGTTCTGGAATCACCTGCCTCCCCCCCCACCCCCTCCCTCTGCCTGCTGCCAGTGCCACCGTGCATCAAAATCACCTGCCTCCATTAAATGGGGTGTCAATCCACCCCTCCATCTCTCAGCTTGCCCCTGTTGCCCATGTTTCCCTGAAAATAAGCCCTAATGCATCTTTTGGGGGGGCCCAAAATATAAGAGTGGGTGTTACTTTTGAGGAAACACAGTATCTCTAACAAGAATAAAGTTCAAGGATGCACATTTTAATTTCTGATAACAGTGAATCTGTGCTAAAAATACAGCAGGCTGAATCTTCCACAATAGATTTGCAAATGTTCAACATTTGGAAAAACCAAAGCTTTGGAGGCAGAAAAGGACCTGGGAGAGTCTGTCACCAGCAATGCCTCGATACATCTGGACTGGAATATCTCCTTCAGCAAAGGCATGCAGGAGTGAGGCTGCCTTCATTTGGTCTGGTGCCTCCATTTAAAAAGGCAGGGCAAAGGGAGAAGTTTGCCTTATAGACAAGGTAAGAAGCTGAATGGGAATCTGAGAATTTATTATTCTTGATTTTTTTTTTTTAAAGGACCTGGAGAGAAGTTCTAGGGAACTCAAATCTTGTTCATTAAAGCTGAAATTGGCCTTAATAAAAGCATTAACTAGAAATTACTGTGATTAAGGCTCGTAATTGTATATTAGCATGTATGGCTGACTCAGAGGGATATTTGGGGATGGATTTTGAGAGCAGGATGACAGCAGAGAACGGGAAGCAGATGGCCACAGTCTGTGCTGCTGCTGAGGAGAGAGGTAGAAAGTCAGAAAAGTATTTGAGGTGGCAAGTGACAAGCGCACCTGAGACTTTTCTAAGAGGGTGGTGAGGGCCATCAGCTTCCCTTCATGCTCTCCAACTTGTTGGTGCTTCCAACGGGGATTTTTTTCTTGCAACTGCTCTCCATCATAGAAAGTTGAATCAATCAGGAGCCTGGATACTCTGCAGACTAAGCACTGTAATTTAATACCAACTGTCTGCAATTAAAGTAAATTCGAATCTTGCCAGGCTCAAGGTTGACTCAGCCTTCCATCCTTTCTAAGGTAGGTAAATTGAGGACCCAGTTTGTGGGGGCAATAAGCTGACTTTGTATAAAATATACAAAAGTATGAAGGCTATTGCTTTACGCACTGTAATCCGCCCTGAGTCTCCAGAGAAGGGCGGCATATAAATAAATAAATTTTAAAAAATCCATCTTTTGTTAGGAATGTATCTGTGGTTTCCTGCAATTTCTTCCCTTTTTTTTCTGACCCCTAAAAAATGTTAAGTAAGGCCTCACTCAAAATCCTTTGAACAGATCCGCATACAAAACCTCCACTCCTCTCTTCCTATACCAGGAGCTAAAGTGATAGGCTAATCCTGAACAAAACTGGAGTTCCTAAATTAAATGAAGAATCAGGAGACCCTCCAAGGGAAAGCTAAACAGACAAAATGTCAAGATGACATGCTTATTTAAAAAAAATCAAACATTTAGAGCTTTATTGCATCATTGCTGCTGCCATCTTGCCTCTGGGCCATACCTTGTGGACACCCTGCCACACAGGCTTGCTTTTCCAAACTCAAAATGACAGTGGTACAAGGATCCTTTCTGAGACAATCAGAGATCAGGCACAAAACAACAATGCATTAGATAATGATGATCAGCCTCCGGCTCTCTTTCAGCTAACCCACAAAGGATTGGAACTACACTGCAGGGTCGGAGGGAAGAGACTGGAATGGATCCAGATCTGGCACTTCAAGGCCACCACTTTCTCAGTCACCCCACCCTTGAATGGAATATTTGGGACAGGTTCTATAATTACAAAAATGTTCCCAGAGAAGATTGCAGGCCTTCCAGGCTATGCAAGAGAAGCAAAGAAAAAAGCTCCTCTTTGTGTCCCCACTGCCACAGAGAAGGATTTCTGGTAGGCTTCAAAAAAGGCCCTAATCTATTCTACCACCACCCCCCCCCCCCCATCCTCTTCATTGCACTTAGCCCCCTGGGAAATAAAAGGGAAGAACATGCACAGGAGAAAAATATTACCTTCCCAGCCCATTAAATTCTTCAGACATATTTAGGAAATCATCCTGATCCAGAGTTGCTTGGAACAAACCATTTTAATTGATCTCCCACCCTGAAGAGGTTCAGAGTAGCTACCAGTCACCATGACCAGAGAATGACCTGCTACAGCAGCTGGGTTACAGAAAGCTCCTCAGAGCACCAGTTCCAGTCACACTGAACATCAACCTGTGCCTGACTGGGGGAGAGGTACCAACTGAGATGGGTTCATAGAAATCCTGAGTCGCTCCTGGCTGGGTGGCCTCAATAAGGAGCCTGAAGCCCAGGACAACAATCCCTAGCAGGCCAGTGCCAATCTATTGGTCATCTCTGTTAGCTCATGAAGAGAAATTCTTGGGCAGGAAGAGTTTACAGAATCCCTTCCTGCCTGGTTACCCAAGGCAGGTCAATGGGGCAGGTTTATTCATTTTTTGAGGAATATATTTATCTCAGATCTGAAACAGTACAGGAAAACAGAAGGGTTACACTGAATTCCCAAGTAACGTACCAGAACTGTGGTGACCACCAAAGATCGATTGGTCAGGGAATCTGTCACGTTGGGCCCCTGCCTTCGGGTGATTTCAGTGATGTTCAGCCCATCTGAGGGGCTCCACACTCCAACCTGGGATGGAAACAAAGGCTAAGAGTGAGGAGAAACCAAACTAGAGCTTTTGGACCTGAAAAAAAAAACAGGTGGCAAATAAAGGTGGTCAGATAGTTTGAAAGCCTTAAATGAAGGCACAGGAAACTTCCTCTGGGATTCCTGCCCAGTCCTTTCACAGTTACTACAGTTTCTTTTGAACAATGTATATCCTTCTAAGCAAGTTGTGGGAGCTTCATCACTGGAGACTTTCAAGAAGAGACTGGACTGCTGTCTGTCAGAAATGGTGTAGGGTCTCCTGCTTGGGTGGGGGGGTTGGACTAGATGACTAGGTATCAGAATTTGTTGCAGCACACACAATCAGACACAATTAAATGAACTTCAGCAGGATTGAAATTACATATAAGAAACTTCTTTATATACAGCAGAATTCAGCATACAATATCAGGAACACAGAAGCAATATTCATAGAAGCAAGTCATTTCAGGGTAGAGAATACAGAGGCTAATATATTGTACAGAGGCTCTCATTACAGAGGTCAAACCAACTCTTTTTTAAAAATAGTTTTTATTAAACAGTTTTGTCTTTAAAAACAAAAACAACCACAAATACATAAAAACAAAACATAACATAACAAACAATATATACCATCTAAGGTCATTTTACAGCTTTCTGTATCGGCATACGTATTTTGCTTTTGTAGTTCTCTATTCTATCATATCTATTTACTTCTCGATAGTAGTATAATAACGTTACACCAACGTATATATTAACACACATAGTAGTATTCATTGTTCTTATCTGCCAATTTATATTAATTTATATTTACATCTCTTTGTTTAATGTTGTTCAATTACTCCAATTTAAGTTTCATCAGTACTAAGTTAAACATTTCTTGTTTTGGTTTCTATTTTTCAGCCCACTGTACATTTAATTCCATACTTTGTAATAGTCTGAATCATCCCTCTCTTTTAACTCCATAGTCATTTTGTCCATTTCTGCACATTCAAGAATTTTCTTAATTACTATTTTGTCTGAGGATATATTATTTTGTTTCCAATTTTGTGCGAATATGATTCTTGCTGCGATGAGTATGTGTAATGTAATGTATTGGAGTTTTTTATTCATTTTCGAGTCCAGTATTCCTAATAAAAATAGTTCCTGTTTCAAATCTGTTTATTGCTCTGTAATTTCTTCCAGCCATTTTTGAATTTTGCACCAGTATTTCCTTGTGATGAGGCACATCCACCACATGTGATAGAATGTTCCAGATTTGTGGTTGCATCGCCAACATTTGGGGGATAAATTTGGGTACATTTTGGCCAATCTCGCTGGGGACAAATGCCATCTATAAAACATTTTATAGAGGTTTTCTTTGTAGGTGACTGCTGTTGTAAGTTTATAGTTCCTTTTCCATAGTTTGTCCCACTATTCTAACTCTATGTTATGACCAAAGTTCTTGGCCCAGCTAATCATCATTTATTGTACTACTTCTTCCTCCATTTTACATCTTAGTAAAAAATTGTATAATTTTGTAATCATTTCCTCCCCCCATTCCTAATAAAATTTTATTCAGTTCCAATTGTTTCTCATGTATGCCAAATTGTTCTTGATCTTTTTTTAGTCTTATTTTAATTTGTAGGTAGGGCCACCATTCTATATTTATTCCTTGCTTTTTCAGTGTTTGCACTGATTTTAATTCTCCTTTTTCATCTAAGATTTCTGAATATCTTACATTCTTTCTAGAGTCTCAACATCTTTTTTACATCGTGGCGACCAAAAGTGAATGCAGTATTCCAAGTGTGGCCTTACCAAAGCATTATAAAGTGGTATTAACACTTCACGTGATCTTGATTCTATCCGTCTGTTTATGCAGCCTAGAACCGTGTTGGCTTTTTTGGCAGCTGCTGCACACAGCTGGCTCCTATTTAAATGATTGTCCACTAGGACTCCAAGATCAAGGTACCACATATACCAGTGATGGCGAACCTTTTCAGCACCGAGTGCCCAAACTGGAACATGCGCATGCCAGAGTGCCAGAAACCCAAAGACCAGCTGACCGGTATGCATGCATGTGCTTGAAACCATAAGAGCAGCTGATGACAGAGAAGGCTCTGTGTGCCACCTCTGGCATGCATGCCATAACGGACATATACTGTACCTGTCATTTTGTTTTTCTTGTCTAAATGTAGAACCTTACTTTTCTCACCATTGAATTTCATTTTGTTAGATAGCACCCAATATTCAACTCTGTCAAGATCCTTCTATATCTTAAGCCTATCTTCTGGAGTGTTGGCTATTCCTGCCAGCTTAGTATCATCTGCAAATTTGATGAGTTCCACATCACATCACATCACATCAGATACTAGACAACACAGTATCAACAGTAGAGTCCTTCAAGTTTCTAGGTTCTATCATATCTCAAGACTTAAAATGGACACCTAACATCAAAACCATCATCAAAAAAGCTCAACAAAGAATGTTCTTTCTGCGCAAACTCAGAAAGCTCAAACTGCCCAAAGAGCTGCTGATTCAGTTCTACAGAGGAATTATTGAGTCTGTCATCTGCACCTCCATAACTGTCTGGTTTGTCTCTGCAACCAAATAAGACAAACACAGACTTCAACAGATAATTAGAACTGCAGAAAAAACAATTGCTACCAACCTGCCTTCCATTGAGGATCTGTATACTGCACGAGTCAAAAAGAGGGTTGTGAAAATATTTACAGACCCCTTGCATCCTGGACATAAATTGTTTCAACTTCTACCCTCAAAAAGATGCTATAGGGCACTGCACACCAAAACAACTAGACACAAGAACAGTTTTCCCCTAAATGCCATCACTCTGCTTAACAACTAATTTCCACAACACGGTCAAATAATTTACTAAGACTGTATTACTATTATTCTTCTCTTCCTTACTAGTATCTATCTCTTCCCACTTATTACTATAACCATGTTGCTTGTATCTTTCAATTATATTGTTTTTATTTGTTTCCTAGTACGATTTGATAGCTTATTAGTAACCTTGACTATCACTAAGAGTTGTATCTTTTTATTCTTGATGAATGTATTTTATTCTCCTTATGTACACTGAGAGCATACACCTAAGACAAATTCCTTGTGTGCTCATCACACTTGGCCAATAAAAATTCTATTCTATTCTATTCTATTCTATTCTATTCTATTCTATTCTATTCTATTCTATTCTATTCTATTCTATTCTATTCTATTCTATTCTATTCTATTCCCTCGTCCAAGTCACTGAAGAAGATGTTGAAGAGTAAAACAGAGCTTTGGGGTATTCAACTGCATAATTCCCTCCATGTAAATGCAGTTCCATTGAGGACTACATGTTAGTGCGGTTGATCAGCCAGTTACAAATCCATCTGTTGGTGATGCTGTCTAACCCACATTTTTCTACTTTATTTAGTAGTAGGTTATGGTCTACTTTATCAAATGCCTTACTGAAGTCCAAGTAAATTATATCGACAACATTCCTCTGGTCCACTAATTTTGTCACTTTGTCAAAGAATGCAATAAGATTAGTCTGGCATGATCTGTTTTTGACAAACCCATGTTGGCTTTTGGTTATTACTTCGTTTGCTTATAGGTGTTCGTTGATTCATTGCTTGATTATCTTTTCCAGAATCTTCCTTGGTATTGAGGTCAGGCTGATAGGTCTGTAGCTTCCTGGATCTATTTTTTTCCTTTTTTGAATATGGGAACTACATCAGCTCTTTTCCAGTCCTCTGGCAGTTCCCCAGTGCTCCGGGATCTTTGGAAGATATAGTTCAGTGGTTCTGAGATCATATCTGTCAGTTCCCTCAGAACCTTGAGGTGTAATCCACCTGGTCCTGGTGATTTGAACTCATCTAAGGTAGACAGGTGCTCACTTACCATTTTCTTCCCTATTTTAACTTGTGTTCCTAATCTGTTTTTTGTGGTGCTGTTTTTGATAGGTTAGACTGTTTTTCCCCCTTGTGTAAAGACAGATGCAAAAAATGAGTTAAGTAGTTCTGCTTTCTCCCTGTTGCTAGTCACCTTTTTGCCACTTTCTCCCAGTAATGGACCAATTGTTTCCTTGACTTTTTTCTTGTTTTTAACATATTGGAAGCTTTTTTTATTTTTTACTTTTGTCGCAAGCCTTTGTTCGTTGTGAGACTTAGCTTTCCTCACTTCATCTTTGCAGGTTCGGGCCATTTGCTGATATTCTGCCTTAGTTATGTGCCCCTCTTTCCACTTTTTATACTTATCCTTTTTGTTTTTCAGTTTGTCAGAGAGTTCTTTATGCAGCCATGCTGGTTTCTTTTGAGAGCTGTTATTTTTCTTCTTCATTGGTATTATGCTAGACTGGGCTTTTATAATCTCACTTTTCAAAATTTCCCAAACTTCTTGAGTTGTTTTCCCATTGAGGATTCTCATCCGTGGAATCCTTCCCAAGTTCTCTCTAAGTTTATTGAAATTAGTTTATTAAAGTCCAAGACTCTAGTCTGACTTTGTTCATTGCTTGTGCTTGCATAATGTTAAATTCCAAATTGCATGATCACTCCCCCTCCCCCAAGGTTCCTGCAGCTTCAACATTTTTTACCCTTTCTGAAGATTGAAAACACGTCAGCTCTTTTCCAGTCCTCTGAGCTCCAGGAGCTCTGAAAGATTTCATTCACTGGTTCAGAGATCACATCTGCCAGCTTCTTCAGTACACTTGGATGTAAACCATCTGGTCCCAGAGATTTCAACTCATGCAAAGCAGACAGTATTCTCTTATCAATTCCTTGCCTATTTTGATCTGTATTCCTTTTGTATTCCACACTGTATTCCACAGTGCTACTTTTGATAGGTTGGGCTCTTTTTTCTTTTTGTGTAAAGACAGAAGCAAAGATGGAATTAAACAGTTCTTCTTTTTCCCTGCTGCGTGTCACCTTCTTGCTATCTTTTCCCATTAGTGGACCAACTGTTTCCTTGATGTTCTTCTTTTCCTTACATATTGAAAGAAATGTGTTTTGTTATTTTTGGCATTT